CCATTCTCATCATACACAAACATTTGCGCTCAAGTATGATGGTGCCTTATGGAGTTTTCTGATCTCTAACTTACTACAACAAGGTGAAACTTCCCTCACTTAAAATAAGCATGTGTCATTAAATGCAACCAAGACGTACACACACAAGGTCAGACTATCATTCCTTTGACATGAATCACGCTATGGCACGGTATAATGCCTCTTGCTTGGTCTAGTGGGTCGAACAGCTATTTATTTCGATAACGGGTGCTTGTGCAAGGATACTACTAATATTTCAGCTGATTTTCAGTCTATCCCCTATAAGAAGAACACCAACAACACAAAACTTAACTTCTCTCCAAAGGTCATGATACCGTCTTATCGAATAGTGTTAACATTTCTGGCTGTATTAGGTTGACCCAAAAGTATTTCCAAATAAATCAAAATGTTCTTGTTTTCCTAGAAGACTTAGGACACCTTAAGAGCGGAGCCTGCTCTACAAAATGAAAATCAAGGATCTGCCTAAATCCTAATCCAGACTGAGTTTGGAGCAAAAATCGCATAAAAAATTATTACCCGAAAATTTCTTGCGAAAAATCCTACGATCCTCTAACTTGATCACTGTACAGCAGACATATAGTGGAACTCAAGCATGTCTTGGCTGGATTCGCATAAAAAGTGAGAAAAATGGTTTCAAAATAGCAAACTCCGCCTCCAGCTCCTCTTATGCCATTGTATATTAAAGCCTTAGTAAGTATAACTGCAAAATTTTACTTTTGTCTGTGCTTTCGTAATCGAGAAAGTTTAGCAGTTCAAAAACCTCGAAACAAGTGACATTTTTAAATTTCGGGCCATTCAAATTTCTCAATTTCGAGCCGTATAAAAAAATCCACCAAATGCACTTTTGAGTACTACTATATGTTTATTGTACAATGACCAAATAGGAGGTTCGTAGTATTCTGGACGGAGATCCGATTTTTTAGTTGAAAATTTTTAATTTTTGGACTCTTTCAGATCGAGTAGATTGGGATTTTAGTGTCGGCGGGAAAAAAGCCCGCTTTGACCCCTTCGGCAGGGTATAAACACCGAGAATCAGGGGAGGCCTCAGTCCGCGCTGAGGAAGCGCTAGCGGGAGCTAACTCCGTCGAAGAGAGGCGGATTTCCCCCTTAGATAGAGAGTTCATCCAGTCAACCTGCCGAAGAGGTCAAAGAGGGTAAAGCCCGCCGTTTCGTTGCTTAAGTTGCGCATTCTTGTTTCTTGTTGTTCGTTGCCGTTTTTCTGAGATAAATTATTAGTCGTTCAATCCGTATTGTCTATCGATCCGGTTGAAACCGCCGTTATACCACTAGACACCCCCGGTTACAACTCAAATTTCAACTAAATCACGACTTTGACGGATCGTTCGCGGTCATTTTGTGGAGCTTGCTTCGCTCTATCGAATGGTACCCTAAGTCTGCCAGGAAAACAAAAGCAGTTTGATTTATTCAGAAATACGGCTTAATTTTGGGGCAATCTAATAGAAAGCGCTACAACTTTGTCATTGAAAGACACTTTTTTGCTTTGTTTGTTATTATATTTATGGCCATTCATTTTAGTCAAGACAGTGTTGTGAAGTCGGGAAGGAATTTCCTCTTTGCACAAAGTTCATCAGCTCAAGAGCTTTAAGAAATTATGGACTTTTCGATTCAAACAGGAATGTGTGAATGGTGTGTTGAAGGTATTACTCACCATTTACAAGTGATCATAATAAGTGCCTTACTATTTTCATATCTTGCTCGCAACACTAATAAAAACTGTACTCTTCAAAACGAGGACTGCGAGCAGAGTTGCGCCTCAATTATTCTGGTAATTGCCTTTTTTATTGAGCACGGGTGATGGTGTCCAAAATGTACGCGTAACAACTGAAATGGTCATTTTCGGAAATGGGAGAAAATGAAGTCTAGAGACTAATGCGATGATACAGGAGAATCAATGGATATAAATGGTTTTTCCTTCTTGTTTGAGGGGAGAGAACCATTCCAAATGAAACCAATCTTATGAGGGAATTCTCTCAATATTATCACTTTGAAGAGCATTAAATGATTTCGATCTGTCTTCGTTATCTAGGCGCCTCTGGATCCCAATTATGAGCACTTTTTGAGTGTAAAGAATTGGACCGGGACTGCTCTAATGGTCCATTGTTAGTTATCAGACACTCCATTCAATATACACCTTCTATAGTACATACATTCTTACTCAAAACTGCTTCAAGTGAGCACTGAACATAGCAATTGATTTTACCTAAACTCTATTTTTTTTTGCCTGAAAAAAACATTCATAACCGGGCACCAGACAGTTATCGAAAACAATTCAGAATCAGCGGCTAATGTTTTTCGAAGAGATTCAGGAGTATTTGAAAACGACACTTTAGCAGAATATAATTCCTTCATTAATTATTGCAGTGTGTCTATATGACCAAGATGAAAAATTATAGAATTTTCGTATGTAACATACTTTAGAAAACAAATTGGAAGGGCAGTACTCTATCTGCATATATTGTAATTATTATGTTCTAAGCAACCACGACCAACTGGGCAAATGTTCATGTTCATTAGATCTTCTAATGATGCGGAAAGATATGAATTTTCAAGGAAAGAGCGCCGAAAGGGAAATTAATTAACAGCTATACCGTATTGAAGTGTCAGCGGCACAGTTACATCAAAAGACAACATCATATGCTTCTTGACATTGTGCGCAGCAATTACTCACACTCGAAAATGCTTTTTTGCCAAGGTCAAGACGGCATCAATTTCCCTGAGTCATAACCATCTCATATTCTTCGAGCAGAACGTGAAAATAACTGATAGCATTTACAACAAAATGCTGAAAAATCATTTTTCACTTCCATCAATCCCTTTGTGATAACCGCGGTTTCGGTGCAGACTGAGATATTGGTTAAATATTTTATCAAATGATGGCATGAACCAACAAATTACGTGCAACAAAATGTGTAGACATTGAATGGCTTGAACTTCCTTTGCAGTTTCCAATATGTCAAGCAATAACGACATGATAACGTGAAATTGCAGTACGTAGATGGTGGATAGAAGCGCTGAAAATAAGGTGGATAGAAGCGCTGAAAAAAAAAACCATTCAACCACATAGTGGAAAGCTAGCCTAAAATTATTTGAACTACTGGATCGAGGTGGTACCGTTTTTACGCGCCAAGAGATGCTCACAAATAATGTTCTTTTCCTTGAATCGTCTTGTTGACTGCAGATAGATCTGCGCAATCTTTTTTCATGGCCAGTAAGAACTCCCCGACGACGAATAAGATCATTTTTCACTTTTCATGTGAAACTGCATACCGAAAAGAAAGCCGCACCGAAACCTCACTGTGCGAAAAATGCGATTGTGATCCTTGTGAAGTTTAGATAATCTGCGATTTTGACTCCATACCGTACCCCCCCCCCTCAATTCCACAAATCAGAAATGGTGCGACACGCCATATTTTTCATAGGTAACCACCCTACCGAATTCCAAACAAATCTGTGGTTTTGACCTCTTAATGCCGACCGTAACCAAGCGGGATAATGCTTTCAACCTCAATATCAGCATGCCAAAAAACCCACCTAGAACAAATTTTACTCAAATTTATAATACTGAACCCCTACCATGTACCTACCGTGACCTTGCGAAAAAGGACCACTATGCGAAAGACGCGGTGATCGTGATCAGTATGCTAGAGATCCCCTGTAGGCCGATACGAGAAGAACTCGACCTTGAATTTTTGGGGCCCGAATACGGAATAAGCTCCAAGAAAAATCGAAAGAATAACTTTTGCACTGGGCACTACCGTTACTATTAGGGTGTCTCATAGTTTTTTACCGTTTTTAGTGCAACCGCCGTCTTTTCGTACCTTTCCTTCATCTGCTGTGACTTGAATAATCATTCGACAGAACAAAGCAAGTTCTTCAAGATGGCTATCAAAACTCTGCTCAACTCATATCCCACGTAAAGTTTTGAGCTGAAATCTCAAAGTAGTCAAAAACGAACTTTTCTTTTGAAAATCGTATCTCCGACTCAAGATATCCAGAAAATTCTCCATTTGTTCTAGCATATGCTTAACACATGCATAATCAACTGTACACTTTTCGAATTTTCATGGCTAGAGGTAAAGAAAAAAACGAATGAGGCAAAAAGGCAAACTCCGCCTTTAGACGTCCTGAGCTCCTCCCATGCATGTGATCATATAGCTCAAACATACAGAAGTACGATCATGTATTTGGATTTTTTGTAGGTGCCCCAGTTCTGGAGAAATGCTGATGTTTGAGATAAAAACGGTAGAAAATTATGAGGCACCCTAATACATAATACTTGCTACCACATTTCCGTTGGTGGCTGTTCTCCCGGCGCGGGTAGATTTGAGGTTTCTGCTGGTACTGTACAAGAAAGGGTCTCAAACTACTGTTTTAAGGAGAGTGCATGACACCGGGGGCAAGAAAACCTTCGGGCATAAAAAGCAATACCCGAAAGGCTTAGCGTCTTAATCCCCAACATGGTGCATCCCACCTTAGTGTCACCCAGTGTAAAAACAACACTGAATAACGTCTTTCAGTGCTCAAATATGTCGAGGGCGCACCGTTGTGGATGTCAGTCCGAGTAAATGTCGTTAATCTGCCACAAGTCATGCGTCTTTGCATGTTGCAGCCTCTACTAGTTCTCCGCACAGCCGGTGGCATACGTTCCCTATCCTCTACTGGATGTCATGTTTCTGGTCAACATTGACTAGTTGGGGTCCTTTTCTTAGTTTTCTAGTTGGGGCTTACCATCTCTCCCTCACTCTCTCCCCCCCCCCCTTCATTAATCCCAAACCGCCTTCAAGATTTTTATATTTTGACTCCGTCCTGAACACTATAGGTCTGACTGAAATAACCAACATCATGTAAGCGCGTAGAATCGTATACCAACCCCATACAATTTTGTAATTCATCCTGTAACATTCTTCTTCAGGCCAATGAGGCATGCCTTTCAAATGTTTTTAGCGATTAGTTTTGAGATATACAATGTATACCTGCACAGCCCAGATATCGTCCGGATCGTTTGTGGTAGATTCGTCTGAAGTTCAAGTAGTAAAATAAATGAGTTACAAAAAGGGATTGGTTGATTTTTTGTGAAGAAGGACCTTCCACTGCACTTACTTTCATGAGAATCATAGTTTTTGAAAATTACTTCCTCGACCAAATAGGGTGATTTTTCTACTCGAAGAGGAGGTATGTACTCCACGACTGTGAAATTCTTAGGCCCATAAGGGTAGCCGCCTCCTATCCGTCTTACCTTTCGTATCTAAATAAGGCAAAAGAAATATTGACACTTAACCCTGTAGAGATAAGAAAAAAAGAATGACGTTTTACCTCAATCAGCTGTATAGCTTGCCCGTTATGATGTCCAGCGCTACTTGCACGACTGACAATGTCAGTGCGGTTTTCAGGCGAGCCTGTGGAATACGATGGCACCGTTTTCCTTCCAGCTGCTTTCCTACCAGGATTTCCTTTCTCAGAGCCCAATGATTCTTCAGGGATATCTGGATCAACAGTAAATACTGCTGAGACGGGATTTTCACCGATAAGAGTGCCGTTGATGTTAAGGGAATCTAAGGTGTGGATAACTGGAAATGGGACAACATGTCTTTTGTGCATGGATCTGATTCCATAGATGTTGCTGAGGCCATATTTATGATAACGACGAAGGGAATCCTGCCCTGAAAATGGGAGATACGCTAAGTACAGTTTATCATTTCCTATGATCATGTGTGTCATTGCACAAAGTGTTCGTCTTCGCCGTTCCGATGCTGAGTTCTGACCATGGAGTGAGGAAGAAAGACTTAAATGGTATGAATGTGCTGTTTTATGGACATTCGTGCTCAAAATGACCAGGGAATATTAAGAAAACTCGGCAGAACGCTCATCTGTCGGTGTCTGTAGCTAAAAATCCAGGCTGAAGGCGGCAAAGACGGATGTAGTGTGCAATTGCACATAATCAAAAATCGTGTACTGAAGCGTATTCTTACAGTACTCACCCCGTAACGAATACAGTAAGTCATGAGAACAAAGTACGGTCCGAATAGAAGCGACCAACAGCCAAGTGGACATCGCTTTGCACTGACATCAAAATCACCTCGATGTCCGTCTCCAATGCCGGCAAAGTGCTCGAGCGAAAGTGAAAGGTCCGGATGGCGTGTGTTGTGAAGAGTAATCCGATAGTTGGCTGTAGGTGAACGGTAAGTGAGTGACGGTCATTAGCGAAGTCGGTCAGTTGTAAGACGGCGCACAACGACACGCGCACAGTGCAACAATTACACAATAATGAGCTCAATTCACTCAAAAACGTGCGGAAAACTTTTCCACTGCAACATTCCCTTTTTAGGAAGTGGACACTCATATATGAAGTAGAGGCGAAAGTTTTTGCATAATTCAATGAAACAACTTTCCAGTTTTCTAACCTAAATTCCCATTTTGTTTATTAAATCTCTATATATATAACTCAAAAATTGTCCCTTTGGAGGGTATGTGACTTATATTAGGTTGATGCACAATTCTTGCACCAAAATTTTAAAAATTCTGTTACTTCATCCAGTTGCGATAAAATGTTCTGGTTCGATACATAGTAGAGAGAGCAAATCTTGCGCTTTCTGATGGTACTCGAGTCAAAGGTCCTCGAGGGCATATGGAAACGATACAAGGTGAATAAGGGAAATTCCCGAAAAGTGATTTTTCGATTTTTAGTCACTAAAATTGCTAAAACGTCTACCAGAATTTAAATTTATTTTTGGTCTAAGTTTTATGGCATGCTCTTTTTAACTAAGAAAAGTTGGTAGTGATTGGACGTCTCTGCGAATATTTACGAATTTCGATTTTTTTGAAATGACTTATCACTTTTGTTTCAAATTGACTTTCTAAAATGTACTATGAAATACTACTTTTGATATACATACCATAGAGCAGAACATGTAGGTTGAATAGTTTGTTCAAGCATTTTTAAAATAATTTTTTTGTATTTTTTGGTGCAAGAATTGTGCATCAACCTAATAGAAACGCGCGCCGCTCAACCGATTGGGCTGAAAGTTTGCACACAGATGTTTTCGACCCCGGAGAGGGTTTTAGGCTACTTTTGCGGCGATTCACTGGATCCTTCTATCTTTATCGACTTGTTACGTTTTTCTAAGGAATTGAAGGCTTATCATGTTTAATCAAGCATTCTGCCATAGTCATGTAAAGAAGGGGGGTGGAGTTCATTTTCACCTCAAGATCACGAGGATGCGGTTTCGAAGCGGATGTTCCAGGGTAAGTTATCCATAACATATAAGGGGGGGGGGGGGAGGGGTGGGCTCGCCATGCAGGAGAACAATGGCCCGGTCTGGACCGGGAAAGCCAACTAGTATATTATAAGACTTGCGCTCCATGTTTAGTGTTCAAGAAAACTTTCTATAAGCTGGCCAAGAACTAAGCTTTCAAAAATAGCGTTGAAATTTTTGGATTTTAGGTTGATGTCAAAACTACAGAAAGCAGCTAACTGGCCCTAAAAATGTGAAACTTACTCACTTCGCAATAGTCCATATATCAATGTGGCAGGCTTCAATATAGTATGAAAGTGCAAAAAAATTTCGCGGAAAGGCCGTTTTACAGGAAAAATTCCTATTACTACACTTGTAGCAAAAGCATCGAATGAGAAAGAAAAAAACGTGTGGTGTTTACAGTGTTTAAGTTAAACAACAGGTCATATTTCTGGTCTAGAATAGTGCTTCTGTGGTAAAGCATGAGGAATTTTCCCTGTAAAATTCTGACATTCTTCGCGATTTTTTGCATTTCCAAGATTCAAGCCTGCCACAGTGGTGTATGGACAACTGGCTAGTAAAAAAAACTCTGGAAATTCTTTTAGAGCACGCTGCTCTACTCAATACTCCGAAATCAACTCGAAATCGCAAATTTGCCATTTCTGGAGGAGGTCATCGGTGGCTAGCTCATACTCACGCCTGAACGTCCACCTCTATGAAGCGTCAACCATCTAACTCACGGAACAATTTGGTAAATTTAGGTTTAACATTAGGATAGTTATCGGATCTCGTTCGATTTACGCAAGAGCTCTCCCAAGCCAATATTTGAGTAGAGGGTCGACGTCTTGAGAGAACCTAATTTATTGAGGGTAATTTTCGGAAGTCATTTGATGGAAGATTTTATGAACTGCCTTCAACTGGCGCAGCAATTTTCAGTTGCTTTGCGTACAACTTACTGAGTAAGTAGTCGCATAGAGCTATTTATTTTCCTCTGTCATTTTCGGTTGCATTTCTACAAATTCGGCTATTACAGTTCCATTTTTTGACCATTATAATTCAAGCGTAGAGTACATGTAGCATACGAAAATGACACCAACCAAAATGCGACAAAAAAGCTCAAACTCAAGCCCTTTTGAGAAAGTGAAGTACCGTAAGATACAACGGGTACTTATTAGGTCGTAAAGAAAGTTCTCAGGCACTTAGAAAATTTTTTGTAAATCGCTGTAAACTTAAGCAGATTGATTCTTTTTTGAAGCAACAAACTTCATTGCAAAGGAAATTTTGTCCACAACATATATTTGTCTCGCTGGCTTCCCAGCACCTAACAGCGGTCCACCAGCATGCGCAGGAGTGAGTCGTCGCGAAAAGTGGCCTATTTGTGCAGGAATTATCTCAGGCAGGATGAGAGCTGGAAAGCCCAAATGCTGTAGTTATATAGAGGTCTTCTGGGACCGTTACGGAAACCATTCATGTTTTTGAGGGACCAACTGTGAAAAAAATTTTTTTTCGGAAAGTTTGAAAAATCGGCCGCATTTTGCTCCCAAAAATGCACCATTTTTTGAGTAAGTGAATTTGAAGTTTTCTAGTTCTGCACAGAAAGGACCAAATCTTTGACTATTATTGGCAATGTTAATGGGGTAATGCCTTGCACATCTTTTGGATCCATCATCCAAGTATGGCGATCCCCGCAGAAGCGACGCCAGCTGCGAGAAGAGTTATACTAGGAGGCAACTTCGACAGCTTGTAATTTCTGAGCGCAAATCGCAAAACTCGAGTGCAGTTGCAGATCAGAAGTCAACAGACTTTCCAATCAGATCACCCATGATTTCGGCGAAATTCTTTTAATTGCACCAAAAATGGCCGCAGAAAAAAAAATTGTAAAATTTTTGTGGTTGGAAAGATTTCTCTCTTTGATGTACAGATCAAACACGTCTTTGCATCGATAAATGTCAGAAGGCGTGTTGAAAACTTCAGGCTTCCCTCTACTGAACAGTCCGACCGAGCGCTGAAAAAAAGCGTTTGAAAATGAAACTTCAAAAGTGCCCGGGAACTTTCTTTACAACCTAATACAATTGTTTTTGTGCCAACAAAACGTAAGAGAAGGGTGTACCCCCTATACATCACAGCAGAGTCTGTTTACGAGTGTAGATAAAAAAAAAGCACATACATAGCTTGCCCAATAGCCAGACCATGTATATGCACTCCGTGGATACCTCACCTTGATGTCATTGATTACAAAAAAAGTTGGGGATTTAAAAAATAATCTGAAATTCTAGCTACTTACAAATAGTTGTAGTCCCTCAATCATGAATTTCCAAGCAGATTTGGACACTTGTGATTTTAGCCGCTTCTTCGGAATAAATTTGTACAAAGTAGCAGTTATTATTTATTCATATCACAGCTACGACTACTTCTCAGCCTAAGAAGACTGGTTTACAATGCGACTTCAGAATAAGCAACACGGTTCTTCTGTCATGCTCATTTGTAGTCAAAGCCAGGCGAGCATGAGGTGTGGCACACGGACGCCGGATACGTCTCCCAAGAAAAGAAAGAAATGAAAGAAATGTGAAAAACAGCAAGCTAGTAAATTTAGTAAGATTTAATTCACGTTCCCGCGCTACGCGATACACCTAACCAAAAATTCAGAGAACATATTTCGATAAAAAGCAAAGCTTACGATATGGCGTTAAAGAGTGCTCAAAAAAGTTGATCTACCGAAACAAAATCACAAAAATAACAATTCCAAGAAACTCCAACTTGTTCGAACAATGTACATATTATTCGCATCGGCCTCGTATAAACACATGCTGGATTTTTTCCTTTGAAAATCAAGAAGATAAAAAATTGGCATTTCTTGCAAAGCAATGCTGAAGCGTTTTTGCTACTACAAACCTTTGCTACAGTGCTAGCCATGGCTATAAAGCCACCCTAATAAATCAAGCTAATTAGCCCTGTGTTGGAGAAAATTTTTCAAAACCACTTCCTGTCTGCAAAATAACGCTATATCATTGTACGAAACAGCACACAATTTCATTGATTTTGCGGTGAAGGTGAAGAATTTGAAAAACATGTTCCCATCTATAGATTTTTATCCCTCTATTGCGAAAAACCAAAAAAGGCTATTTCTTTCATTTTTAACACACTGCTGTTTCCATACCGGCCACAGGCATGTCTGAGGTGGGATGCATACGCATGAGCAACTCGAAGGTCCGCATGAAATTTCAAGACGGAGAACCGATTTTTCTTATCTAAAAACTTCTGAGTTTGTCTTCAAAATTACGTGGATTTGGTCTATGCAGAGATCCAGCGTTACCTAAAGCTTGTTTTGCTTTGTCATACAATATGTTTTTTCAAATCTTTTTAACTCTCTCGCGGGAGCATGAGGAACATGCATCAATCTTAGATGAGCACAAACGTTTTTATGAAAGTTCATTCATGGCTTGAAACAATTCTTTAACGTGGGCGTACCGTAAAGTTCAGACTTCGATAAATGTGAAATGATGGTATAATTTGCCAAATCTTGCCGTATACGAGCTTTCACGAAAAGAGTTCATGAATGTGATGAAGAATTTAACGCAGTTCAATACGAATCCAGCAAAATACTGCCAAGAAGAGACATCAAAATGTAAGCACGCTTTGGGATTATGTCGATGTGATCTCAACCGTTCAAAGTGGCGGGCGTAATGGGGAAGAGCGGAATGCTTTCAACCAGTTGTTGCACACTAGTCACGTTGGAGGTCTTAAGCTGGATATTGACCATTTAAGAATGGATTCTTTAACGCATAAATACAGGTGCAGTCTTTGAAAGGACGATTCCCT